TAAAATAATAAAAAATTACCAAGTTTTTAAATTTGCATTACGTTATAAGTATTAGGACAGCATATATATATATATATATATATATATATATATATTTATTATAGAAACAAAAACTAATTATGCTGAAATAATGATGTGAATACATTGATAGTAGGGCTGTCACTGTAACATTAATTCAGCGTGATTAAGAAGAAAATAAGGCAAAATGATTAACAATTATGAAAAACAAAACAGTACTTGCAATGTCAGACTGCAGAAATATCAAACTCGTGTATGATAGGAAAGATTCTGAAGCCGCACCTCAAGACTAAGACACAGGCCGCGACTAGTGTGTAAGCCAGCAGAGTGCCAATGGACATGAGATCAACCAGATCTTTCAGATCAAACAGGAAAGCCATCAGCGCTGTGGAGAGAAGAAGAGTGTTACTGCAGGACAATGGTTCAGCTCTATTAATAGTAATAAGTATAACAAGTTCACGAATACTAATTTGGATGTGTTAATATTGTCATCAGAATAAATATCATTACACTACCATTCAAACATTTGGGGTGGGTAAGATTTTTTATGTTTTTGAAAAAAAAATTCTCTTATCTCTCACCAAAGCTGTATTTTATTAAACATACAATACAAACAGTAATATTGTTAAATGTTATTACTGAATTTAAAACAGTCATTACCTCAGTCGTCCATTTCACATGATCTTTCAGAAATCATTCTAACATGCTGATTTGCTGAAATTTTACATTTCATCTTATGTCTTTACTGTCACATTTGATAAATTTAATGCATCCTTGCGGAATAAAACTATTAATTTCTTAAAAAAAAAAAAATCTTACTGACCCCAAATTTTTCAACAGTAGTGTTGTTGTAGTGTTAACATTAATAGTGAATTGTAACCATATACTAGTGGCATATAAAATTTAATAACCACCAACAAGTCGTCAGTAAAAATAGACAATCTGTTAAAACCTGTCAAAACATTAAGAAATGGTTAATGATGTGCCATATTTAAAGAGAAAATGACCACTCATTTAGATTCTGTGCGGCCCGTGTAATGACATCTGACATTGCATATCCTCTCTCAGCATTGCCACATATCCTGTTAACAGTTGGTCCCCTACTTATAAAAAGACATCTTGCAATAGCAGTAATACAGAAATATAAGTCTTATTAACAATGACTGCGTTTGCATTTAATGCATAACATGCAATTAAAAGGTTGTAGGTGATGTAAAGTACATTTAAAACATGGTTTCTAAATATATTACATTATGAATTACACTGACGTGCTTTTTGGACAAAGGTTTGATCATAAAACTTACAGAAAAAGTGACATGAATGCTGCTAGAAGCTAAGGGTTAATCCGTTTCTCCTCTACGCTTCCCAGACAGAAGCCCAGCCACCATGGTGGCGATGATGGGCGTCTTCCTCTCACTGACACGAGACAGGAAGGTGAAGATCAGACCGCTATTTGCCATGACAAAGATAATGCGTGGCAGTGGGAACATGGAGCCCAGCAGACTACACAAGCAGGGGAGGGAGGATCAGTGGATATATGATCTAAATCCGAACGTTCAGACAATCGCAGATGCCTCTAGCCTCAACACTAAAGCTGAATGTAAAGGAGAGCAAAAGCTCAATATACCCCTTATAGTTCAGCTCCTCAATTTAAGTGCAACAATTTATGTTTACACTTTTTGTATTCATTAACGTGACCAAACTGTACGTCTGTGTTGTTTTGTATCGTCTACTTACAAGTTTACTGTCAATGCTGCAATTCTTTGAACATAAAGGCTTATATAAAGCCTCCTGTTAGCACAGAAAATGCAGCTCTGCAGGGGTTATGGGTCATTTTTTGGCATTGCTGCAGTTTGAGAGGTTGTTGCCCGGATCTCTGTGAGATCGTAAAGGAGCGAGTCTGTTAGTAGTTTGAATCAGAGTCCTCACCTGCCACTATGCCTGAGGTTACAGTGGCTATTATGGGCGTTTTGGATTTTTCATTGATGCTGGCTAAGAACTTGAAGAGCAGCCCGTCTTCAGCCATGGCCCATATTACGCGGGGCATTGGGAACATGGAGCCCAACAGACTAGTTCAGAGGAGAGAAACAGATTCACACCATGCAGTGCAGTTAGCTTGTGCATTTAACATCTACTGAAGCTAATTAGCTTTATCAGGAGAAAAAAAAAAAACACGTCTGCCTTTAAAGTGTCATGAAAAAGCAAACCATATCTTTTTTAGATTCTACAAATATTCACACACTATTCAAAAGTTTGAGGTATATTGTTTTAAGAAATTAATTCTTTTATTTAACAAGGATGAAAGTAAAGACATTAATAATGTTTCAAAAGATTTCTATTTCAAATAAATGCTGTTCTTTCAAAAACAAAATCTTACTGACCCCAAACTTTTGAAAAATAGTGCTTGAATATGTTTGAACAGGATACAGGACAATTTACACCTGAATGGTGACACTACAACTGAACAGAGCGAAGAGTTTAAACAGCATGTAACCACGTCTGGGCTAAGCCCCGCCCACTTCACTCCATGAATTTAGTCATTCTATCACTTACTATTTCTATAGACATTCATTACAGCTTGTGAGACATCACTGAAATATTTGTGCAACATTTTTGATTGTATGGAAAATTGTAAAAGTTTTTCATGACACTTTAAAACATATGAAACAATAAGTAAATCATATTAAAATAAAACAGATTACTTCAGAACACTGCAACTGAATTAACTTAGTAGTAATTCATTTATTAAAGGGTTACTCCACCCCAAAATGAAAATTTTGTTATGAATCCAAACCCGTAAAAGCTTTATTCGTCTTCGGATCACAATTTAAGATATTTTGGATGAAAACCAGGAGGCTTGTGGCTGTCCTATTGACTGCCAAGTAAATTGCACTGTCAATGCCCAGAAAAGTATGAAAGACATCGTCAAAATAGTCCATCTGCCATCAGCGGTTCAATCTGAATTTTATGAAGCGACGAGAATACTTTTTGTATGCAAAGAAAACAAAAATAATGACTTTATTCAACAATTCGTCATTTTGGAGGGTATCCACTGGATGTAAACTGCGTATACTGTTCTACTTGTCTGTGTCAGCCGCACCACACGGATACGTTTTCTACGTTTATCAACGCTTTGATATGAACGAAAACAGTGTATCCGTGTGGTGCGGCTGACACAGAACAGTATACGCAGTTTACGTTCAGTGGATACTCTCCAAAATGGCGCTACGGTGACGCGGAGGAGACGAATTGTTGAATAAATTCGTTATTTTTGTTTTCTTTGCGTACAAAAAGTATTCTCGTCGCTTCATGAAATTCAGATTGAACCACTGATGGCAGATGGACTATTTTGACGATGTCTTTCATACTTTTCTGGGCCTTGACAGTGTTATTTACTTGGCAGTCAATGGGACAGTCACAAGCCTCCTGGTTTTCATCCAAAATATTTTAAATTGTGTTCCAAAGACGAACAAAGCTTTTATGGGTTTGGAACGACATGGAGTTAAGTGATTCATAACAAAATTTTAATTTTGGGGTGGAGTAACCCTTTAAGTTCCACACATCTTTATGCCTCATAGTTCAGGTATTAAAAGGGTCATATCATGGAGAGCAAATTAAAAAAATAAAATAAAATCAACTTAAAAAACACCTTATTGAATAATTTCAATAAGCATTTTGTGCATGTGTATTTGTAGACATTTCCATTTCTAATGGAGTTTTCTGAAGGAGTTTGGAGCCAATAATAGCACATGACATACTGCAGCTTTAAAACAAGCAATGCTATGCAAACCCACACACCCCACAACTGACATGACTTAGATAGCACCTGTGTAGTTCTTACCTGGTGGACAAAGCACAGAGGGAACCAACAGCTACTGCGTATGTCGCCCCTTCCCAGCCCACATATTTGAAGGCCCCGGGCAGAGGGCTGTTCTGTTCCAGCATGTAGTACGGCATCATCATCGTGAGGGCGGCCGATACGCCAAAATAGGCGACGAAACAGATGAGAAGAGATGCTACAATGCCAATAGGCATCGCCCTCTGAGGATTCTTCACCTCCTCACCTAAAGCACGGAGAATGAGAGAAGGCCTTTATTTACACAGGAAGTATTTGACTTATAAATGTTTTCAAATTACCACATACATATGAAATCTGACTTATATGTGATCATTATATGTTATTGTTGTTTCGGAATGCATCTCAGTTAGATAAGACTCAGAACAGACTCAAATCAAAATTTTGTTGTCATAGAAAATGAAGAACTCACCTGTTGTGGCGATACAATCAAACCCAACGAAAGCGTAGAAACAGGTGGCAGCACCAGACAAAACACCAGAGAAACCGAACGGCATGAAGCCACCAACACCCAAACTCTCTTCAGATGGCAACAGCTCTGACATACTGGAAATACAAACAAGTACTAAGCTATAGTATGTCCCTCAGACAAAGGCGACAATATAAACCATTTCTAGGAGCATTAAAATTGTCCTTTTTCACATTATGATTTAGATTATCATTAGATTAGATTCAACTTTGTCACTGTGCAGCATTGTACAAGTACAGAGCCAATGAAATGCAGTTAGCATCTAGCCAGAAGTGCAGATAGCAATATGTACATAAATAAATATAAATATATACATGTATATACAATAAGTTTTTTATGGAGTGCACAGTTTGAAGTACAGAAGCAGAGAGCAGCTCGAAGCAAGTGGTTGTAAATACAAGGTGCAAAAGAGGAGGTATAAACAGATGCATCATACAGACTAAGCATAGAAATACTGAATATGTATATATGATATACATATATGTATGGTATACAACGCAAGGTTATTGTACAGTCTTTGTTTCCCTTGTAAAAGCTCAGTTGATTTTCATTACTGTAGTAGTATAATTTAAAAAATGTAAATTACTGTAAAACAGCATTTTTTTAAATGACATGCAAAAATTAAAGGCAGTACAACAAATGCTACAATTTAAATAATCAAATTTATTTTCACAGTAACAGTAATATTAATAAGGGACATTTTTGGTTACTTTATATGCAATGAAAAAATGTCTCAAAAACAGGCTTCATTTTCTTTTAAGTTCTGCTTTCTAAATGCATATTATTGATCTTACTGTAAATGGTTCATTCATGCAAATATTTTCTGACCTTATAATGTTTAATCCTGTCATATTTCAATCTTCTGGTGAAAACGACAGACTTCTTTCTGGTGAAGCAATTACTACTGTTTTGAATTAGCTTTCATTTGTATATTTTCAGTTTTTAATACTTCTTTAGCTTTAACCAAAATCACTAAAACTGAAATAAAAACAAATTAGTTACCTAATATTTTCAGCTTTACTTCATTGAACACAAATTATTATTATTATTTTTTTACTTTAGTTTACAATAACAACACTTTGTCCACATCTCAAAATCCAAGTGCCTGCCCTTAATGTTTTCTTTTATGATAATTCATTACATTCAGATGAATGTCAAAATATGGAAGAAAAGATCTGTTGCTACATAATTGTGACTTTCAGTAAAACATACTTCCCTTGCTTCCTTTTGACTTATTTTTGATCAATAATAAAATCTACATTTCACAAAATATACTGTGCTTCTATCAAAGGGGGAAAAAAAAACAAAAACAAGGTTCTTTACTTCTCAAAGTATGTGTGGTTGAGGATTTCCTTAGGATCCAAGTTCCAGTTTTTGAGGGTTCCTTTGATCAGGCCCGACACCACCACAAACATCAGCACCAGAACATTGATGCAGGTGAACACTTTATTGACCATAGCGGACTCCTTTACCCCAAACGCCAACAAAGCTGCAGAACAAACACACACAACATTTCTATGTGTTGCATTCCTGAACATACACAACCTGAGGTATATTTGTGTAATCTGACTCTCAGTGGCTTACCTGTCAGTATGAGGATGATGAGCACAGCAAACATGTCGGGATACTCTGCTAACACTCCAGGGGCCTTTATCCTCATGTGTAACTTGCAGAAATTCTCTATATGTTTCCCAATGAGCTCATCAAAGGTCGCACTCCAGGCCCGAGCAACACTGGATGTTCCTGAGAGAGGGAACATTGTAAGTGTGGTCAGGCAATATGGGTTATAACTACTGGTTGATCATCGATATTTGGCATTTATTTTTGTTAGGCCCAATATGCTACTACTTTATTGAACTACTGTTGTTTAAAACCAAGGTCACATTTGTAATCGTGCTGATAGTCGGGAAAACATCACTCTTGGTCGTGTGATGTTGCTTACCTATATTATATATTACATAGAATTCAATTTTTTTTACCGCAGTATGTTTGTTCATGTCTGATTCTTTGTGTGTGCTGTTGCGCTTATTAGTTTTGATTTCTCTGTGAGTAAGACAGGCTGCGTGAGCCTCAACTGACGTGACCTTGATACTGTCAAAACATTATCCGTTATCAGTCACCGTTTACACTGAAAGTTATAACATCAGAATCATTCTCACCAAAGTTTCGGTGCTGCCCTAGTTATTGTTTGTTATTGATGTTTTAATCATGTTACTTGTCCGGTCGGGCTAAGATATTGCCATCGGCCATCAAAAAATCCTGGACTACTTGAATCATTCTCACCTATGATATAAGACAAGATGAGGTTCCAGCCGGTTATGAAGGCCCACAGCTCGCCCACCGTCACATAGCTGTACAGATACGCGGAGCCCGTCCTGGGAACACGCGCTCCGAACTCAGCGTAACACAGTCCGGCCATGACTGAGGCTAATGCTGCAATCAGAAAGGATAGGACGATAGCCGGACCAGCGTTTTCCCGTGCCACGGCCCCAGCCAGCACATAGACGCCAGCGCCCAATGTGCTGCCCACTCCCAGGGCCACCAGGTCAAAGGTGTTGAGGCATCGGGAAAGCCGAGACTCTTCTGTGCTGCAGTCGACCACCTTCACTCGCAGAAGCTGCTTTCCAAAGTATTTTAGGTTGGCAAGGACCATGTTGATTTCTTTAAGCACTCACACACACTCACACACATGCATGCACACACACACGCACAAACACACACAAACTCTTCACTGTAGGGCCAATGATCTGGAAAAACAAAAGAAAGAGCAAGAGTGATAACTATTCTGATAAACAGTCCATTAAAGTTTGCTTCAAGTCAAGGTTATTAACACAATTATTTTTAGTTTTAACAAGTTGCCATTTTTACATTTACTTTGCATTCTATTTTAGTTTTATTTTAAAGACATTTCTATTTAATTTGATATATTTTAGGTTTTGTAATCATACTTTAGCAAATTATACTTTTTTTGGTAACAATTATTTAACTAATTAATTATTTAAGAGTAATGACTAATCAATAGTCAATGTTAAAATGCTCTACTATTTTTTATAAAAAATAAAAATAAAAAACAGAAAATTATATTTAATATTAATATTAAATGCTACAAGTGAATGTAGGCATCACAACATAAAACAGTATGAAAAATCTATACTAGTTTTACACATTTGATAAAGTTTACTTTTAACAGTTTTTGCATTTACATTTATTATTAGTTTTTTTTTTACAGATTAATTTAAATGAGCATAGATAACAGCAAAGGTGATCTAAAAGGAAAAAACTAAACAAAAAGCGTATTATCTTCGAAACATTATTATAATACAATATTATGTTTTATATTAAAATATTATACAAGTGCTTTTCCCAGCAGACAATCAGCGCACTTGTGGTTAGCTTAAATACAAAGTCACGCAAAGTCCCTGACTTGCATTATTGTGTTTACATGCGCAATCTTGCAATGTGTACGATAAAGTTATGTTAAAATGTTAAACCTATGTTAAAACGCCTTCAACAGTGTTCGAAAATTCAATTTCTCTTTGAATGCACACACTGTTGTTCATATTCTGTCATGTTATTCAATAGGTCTCAATCATGACACATGCATATAACCAGTGCTGGGTAGTAACTAGGGCTGTGTATTGCCAACAAAGACACAATACGTACCCAATACAGAGGCCACGATACAATATGGGACTGCACTAATTTTCACCTCAGCAGAATTGAGTAAAATAGCTGTTTATTAAATACTGCATACTATAGGGCCATTGCTAACTATAGGCAGAGCAGGCAGTTGACCTCTGCATTATGAACGGCCTCCATAACTGTACCACAGTACAACAATAGGTAATGGCATAGGTTTCATGTTAACATTGGGTACTCGTAGGGCTGGACAATAATTCAATATCAATATGTATCGCGATATAATTTTTTTCAATAACAGTGATATGATTTTTAAACACATTTCCGATATTTCGATATACATTACCAGTGTTTCCCATACATTGATTTATTTGTGGCGTTTGACTTCGTTGAATAAACATGAGCTCTGCACAAAATCAAAACACGGCGCGGGTGTTTTATAAGAATGAATCTCTGAAGGGAACCGACTGTCTTTAGAAAAGTTTCGATGGCATTTTTATTTTATTGGATAAGGAAGAGTTCATGAGCAGAGCTGATTTGATTACAGCCGTTACTGGGGAAACCGCTAGTTCTACCGCTCTCAAAGCGCCTCCTTCCTGTGATCAAAGCTGAATTTTCAGCATCATTACTCCAGTCTTCAGTGTCACAGTGATCCAGAAATCATTCTAATATGCCGATTTGCTGATTATGAATATTTAAAACAGTTGAGTACATTTTTTTTCAGGATTCTTTGATGAATAGAAAGATCCAAAGATCAGCATTTATCTGAAATAAAAAGCTTTTATAACATTATACAATGTTCCATTCAAAAGCTTGAAGTCAGTATGATTTTTTTTTTTTTGGAAATAAATTATAGAAATTAATACTTTAACTTAGTAAGGATTCTTCAAATTGATCAAAAGTGATGATTGTTTTCAACATAATAATAAATGATTTTTGAGCAGCAAATCAGAATAGTATGAAGGATCATGTGACTGGAGTAATGATGCTAAACATATAGCTTTGAAATCACAGGAATAAATTACATTTTAAAATCTATTCAAATAGAAAGCAATTTTAAATAGTAAAAATATTTCAACATTTTACTGTTTTTGCTGTATTTTGGATCAAATAAATGCAGGCGTGGTGAGCAGAAGAGAATTCTTTAAAAACATTAAAAATCTTACTGATCAAAAACTTTTGATTGGTAGTGTATGTCAGCCTATAGTTTGAAGTTAAAGATATTAATATTAATTAGGAGAGTCTGAGATTATTATTTGACAGTGATTTCGCATTTCTTGTTTGTATGAAGGCTAAATACAAATAAAAGCTGAACTAAAAGGTGAACATTCATTTATCTGTGATGTTTTTTTTTTTTTTTTTCAAAAATATTATATGGTTTTATATGCGGTGTCATAGACTTGGCAAATTCATTTTTCATAAGTTTGTATGCACAGACATCTGTTGTGGGCGTTCTTGGCAGTTTTTACGAGGCTTTTTTTAATAGTGTTCATATCGATATCGGAATTATATCGTATCGACCGAAATTAAGAAATATATCGTGATATAAATTTTGGTCATATCGTCCAGCCCTAGGTACTCATACTCCCCACCAGGTACAATATTCTGATTGTTTGCATCTTATTTTTAAGTCCATAAATAATAATGTACTCGTTCTAATATATATTGTAATATACTCATTCTATTATATTAATAAAATCACCTTACATTGCTGGTAGGTTATCCTTGCACAAATTATCACACTCTCTACGTTTAAAAAAGTAACAAAAATTAGAAACGTTCTTAAGTCTTCACTGTAGCTCACACGCACACATTAGTCACTCAAACAGATCACACTGCGCGCACACACAGATATCCAGGCAGCAACACAGAAACTTTAGCGCTGCCCTGCAATTTCATCAATAAAAGAGCTTCGCCGCTGAAGAGCTACATTATCTTTCTCAGCAAAGAGTTGGTAACATCGTTTCTGAAGCAATTAAAGCCACCGCTTCACTGTTAGACAAACCCGGCAAAAACAGAGGCAATACTTAAATACACTGTCTCTCTCTCTCTCTCTCTCGTAAATTAACACTTGATGAATTACACTTTTATGAGAATAGAATATCGAAGTGGAGATCGATAAACTGCAAGCTTACCGTTTTTTTCAGAAAGCCAGCGCTTTTATCCACAGCGGAGAGCGCATGCACATGGTTGCCAGGTTGACAAAAATAAGTAACATTTATCAGATAATTCCGTATTGCGCAAGTGTGAAGCTCTGTGTCGGGGATTACGTCTCTTTATATCAGGCAACCCGGTTGGGTTCCTCTGCGGCCAGATTAAACCTTATACTCTATTCATTATTTTTTTTAGAAACCTTGCACTTTTCAATTCCGTTTTTAAACGCTGTACTTGTATTCAAATAAAGCGCGGTCCAACTGCTGCACACGTGCTGCGATATCGATACTGAAACAACTTTATCGATACCCCTATTGCCAAATAGCTGTGACGATACATCGTAGTATCGAACACAGCCCTAGAGTAACAGAGTACAAATAATCTGAATCACGTCAAAAATTAAAGTGTTAGTTCACCCAAAAATGAAAATTCTGTCATTAATTACTCACCCTCTTGTTGTTCGTCACTTTTGACGCGCATTAATATAAAAATAACGACTTTATCACATTTTCGTCTCTACTGCGTCACTTTGGACGCGCGTTCACGACAGTACCATGCTGGCGCCGCCACACGCTCGCGTCATGGTACTGTCGTGAACGCGCGTCCAAAGTGACGCAGTAGAGACGAAAATGTG